GACCCTGAGCACAATCACCACTGGAATCTCTTTGAGGCAGGGCAAGGAGGGAGTCAGCATGTGGGAGGACACAGGCTGCTGAGAAGCTGCCCCCACTAGAGCTCACCCGGGTAGAGTCCATTCTGCTGAGTTAGCACCATGGTAGTCTTACCGCTAAATATCTTGAAATATCCCTGATTTTCCCGTACTCCTTTCCCAAACAGTCATTAAAGCTGACATCAAGTTTAAAATATTGAGAAAAACAGAAATATACTTACGGAAGCTCAGCAAGACTCTCACATCCTCCCAAGCTGTCAGCCAGAGTAAATAACTATAGCAAACAAAATGTAAACTAAGTTCTTTTATTAAAATAAAAATACTAAAATCTAAAAAAAATATTTTCAATAAAGTGGCCCTGGCAAGAATCTCAGAGGAAAAAATCTCAGAGGAATGAAGTCTCTAACAGTGATTCCATCAATTTGGCGTATTATGTTTAAACTACAAAGGATTAAATACCTGATCCAAGTGAAACTCCCGTATTTTTGTAATTTTCCCCTACACTCAAGTAATACTTAACATGAGCTTTAAAACTTCAAAATTATTATATTTGAAACCTAGCTATGTAATTACCTCTTAAGTAAAGAAAATTTCTAAATATCTACCAAGATCTATAAACTTATTCGTTCACATGTACCACTTGTTAAATATATCCATTTAACGCATTACTAACACAGCAAAGAAAAATCACTGAGGTCTGTATTTACTGTTAAGTGTCATTGAATGTTACAAATGTTTTCAAAATTATTCTCATAACTGTACTAAATTAGGGTCCCCCCCCAGGAGGGCTTTGACTAACCCGGCAGGTTTCTATTTATTAGCTCTGCAGCATTTAAACTCTGTGAGTTGAAGCCATGTCCAGTGTAGGAAGTAACATAAGCCTCTTTTCCAAACCTTCCTCCCTCTGTGACAACTAAGCAAAGGCCTCCTCCCCCATCACCCCCGGTGGATGCAGCCAGGAGGCGCAGGGTTTGGGAAGCTGTTGGCACAATGGATTTCAGAACAGCCTTTGTGCAGTGCACTAACTACACACTACTGTGAGGTTTCACCTGTTTTATCGGAAAAAGGGAATTACTTTTGGAGAAACAGCCACACCAATGCATTAAAACATTCTGTTCCTCTCAAACTGATTGTAGTATGGGGAGAGCTAAGCAAATGAACACACTTAGATGTCTGCCCCTGTGCCCTTGTAGTTGAAGTCTTTTGTAACCCAGTGCATTTCATGATGGAGGTTTATGGGTGTGACCTGCAGGTACAGACAATTGCCTGGGGTGGGTAGAAGTGAGAGATAGTCAGCGGTCTTACCCCACAACTTCAGAAGCGATCTCCTCTCCTCTCCCCTCCCCTCCCTTCTCCTCTCCTCTCTTCTCTTTTCTCCTCTCTTCTCTCAGAGTCTTAATTTATC